AGTGCTGAGTGAAAGGCAGTGCTGAGTGAGAGGCAGTGCTGAGTGAGAGGCAGTGCTGAGTGAGAGGCAGTGCTGAGTGACAGTGCTGAGTGAGAGACAAAGCTGAGTGAGAGGCAGTGTTGAGTGAGAGGCAGTGCTGAGTGAAAGGCAGTGCTGAGTGAGAGGCAGTGCTAAGTGAAAGGCAGTGCTGAGTGAGAGGCAGTGCTGAGTGAGAGGCAGTGCTGAGTGAGAGGCAGTGCTAAGTGAAAGGCAGTGCTGAGTGAGAGGCAGTGCTAAGTGAAAGGCAGTGCTGAGTGAGAGGCAGTGCTGAGTGAGAGGCAGTGCTGAGTGAAAGGCAGTGCTGAGTGAGAGGCAAAGCTGAGTGAGAGGCAGTGCTGAGTGAGAGGCAAAGCTGAGTGAGAGGCAGTGCTAAGTGAAAGGCAGTGCTGAGTGAGAGGCAGTGCTGAGTGAGAGGCAGTGCTGAGTGAGAGGCAGTGCTGAGTGAGAGGCAGTGCTGAGTGAGAGGCAGTGCTGAGTGAGAGGCAGTGCTGAGTGAGAGGCAGTGCTGAGTGAGAGGCAGTGCTAAGTGAAAGGCAGTGCTGAGTGAGAGACAGTGCTGAGTGAGAGACAGTGCTGAGTGAGAGGCAGTGCTGAGTGAGAGACAGTGCTGAGTGAGAGGCAGTGCTGAGTGAGAGGCAAAGCTGAGTGAGAGGCAGTGCTGAGTGAGAGGCAAAGCTGAGTGAGAGGCAGTGCTGAGTGAGAGGCAGTGTTGAGTGAGAGGCAGTGCTGAGTGAAAGGCAGTGTTGAGTGAGAGGCAGTGCTGAGTGAGAGGCAGTGTTGAGTGAGAGGCAGTGCTGAGTGAGAGGCAGTGCTGAGTGAGAGGCAGTGCTGAGTGAAAGGCAGTGTTGAGTGAAAGGCAGTGCTGAGTGAGAGGCAGTGCTGAGTGAGAGGCAGTGCTGAGTGAAAGGCAGTGTTGAGTGAGAGGCAGTGCTGAGTGAGAGGCAGTGCTGAGTGAAAGGCAGTGCTGAGTGAGAGGCAGTGCTGAGTGAAAGGCAGTGCTGAGTGAGAGGCAGTGCTGAGTGAGAGGCAGTGCTGAGTGAGAGGCAGTGTTGAGTGAGAGGCAGTGCTGAGTGAAAGGCAGTGCTGAGTGAGAGGCAGTGCTGAGTGAGAGGCAGTGCTGAGTGAGAGGCAGTGCTAAGTGAAAGGCAGTGCTGAGTGAGAGGCAGTGCTAAGTGAAAGGCAGTGCTGAGTGAGAGGCAGTGCTGAGTGAGAGGCAGTGCTGAGTGAAAGGCAGTGTTGAGTGAAAGGCAGTGCTGAGTGAGAGGCAGTGCTGAGTGAGAGGCAGTGCTGAGTGAGAGGCAGTGCTAAGTGAAAGGCAGTGCTGAGTGAGAGGCAGTGCTGAGTGAGAGGCAGTGCTGAGTGAAAGGCAGTGCTGAGTGAAAGGCAGTGCTGAGTGAGAGGCAGTGCTGAGTGAGAGGCAGTGCTGAGTGAGAGGCAGTGCTGAGTGAGAGGCAGTGCTGAGTGAGAGGCAGTGCTGAGTGAGAGGCAGTGCTGAGTGGGAGGCAGTAATAAGTGAGAGACATTACAAATTAAAATCGGCATCTTACAGCTGAAACAATATACAGGTATATACAGAGTTGTGGTACAGTTCTGGTACAATTTAGTATTTGAAAGAGAAAGAGAGAGAGAGAGAGAGAGAGAGAGAGAGAGAGAGAGAGAGAGAGAGAGTTGTTTTGCAGAGGTCTGAACATTGCTCACACCTCTACAACACAGTTGTCCTCAAAGATTTAAGTTACACCTTGAATTAAGGAAAGATCCTGGACTTCACCTGACCAAATAGACAAAGTAAGAGCGATAGTAATTATGGACAAGGTAGATTATAGTGGAAAAATGAATATGCTATTAAAAGACTGGAGAAGTTAGGTGCCTCTTTAATGTAGGAGAATCTCAACGTGTATGTATATTTTCTTCCCTTACAAGTTAGTGGAAAGTGAGTGAATTATTATTCACCATATGGGAATGTAGTTTTCCCTTGTATTTATAGCTGGTTAATTGTATTTCAAGACTGTCGACTACACGAGGGTCTTGAAGACTGCATGTAACCTCATCACCACCAGACAAGGTTTGAACCTCTAAAATAGGGGTTAAAATACGTGGGTTGGACATATAACATGAACACCTGCTGCTTGAAATGTCGTACTGTTGCATGACTGAATAATCACTTTAAATGTGTTAAAGGTCACTTTTTGCGCTATTTTCTAAGACGATAATCCAGCAGTTCACACCACTAGAGTTGTTCATAACTGCCATCAACAATATAAAAGTGAAGCTGAACACTTGTACTGGCCGCCACAGTCGCCGGATCTAAATATTATGGAGCATCTCTGAGGTCACTTAGAACAATAAGTTAGGAATCGATTTCCTTCACCGTTGTCTATGGAAGAGTTAGATCAGGTCTGGCTTGTGGAATCACTCAAAATACCCCTGGATACTCTCCAGATATTATATGAATCTATACTCTCAGCATCCATACACTGAGAGATGTACACCTCTCAGTGTATATACTTTCCTCTGTGTTTTCCCTGGATGCGATAAAATGGATGGTGATATGTTTAACTGTGTCAACAAGATATTGTTTCAAGGTGGGGCAGGTGTTGTGGGCGGAGGTGTGGTGGAACCAGTAAGCCAGGCGACGCCCACGCCCACAGTTCCCCGCTAAGTGGGCGTGCCTCGTCTAGTCCTGCTTAGGGGCTTCTTGTGCTGTCTCTGGTCTAAGATTAGCCACCAAGGTCTAAGCTGATGCTGGGAGGGAAGGGGGGGGGGTGGAATTGAATACTGGCCAGGGCCATGTGTTTGGCCTGTCTAAACTAGTGTCTGTTGCTACCTCGCCTCCCTGTTGGTCAGGTGCTGGGTTTGGCCGGCGTCGTAAGGCTTGGCCGACATCGTAAGGCTTGGCCGGTGCCGTTAAGATTGGCCGATGTTGCTAAAGCTTGGTTGAACATTTGCTATGAGCTGATCCCAGTTGACCACCGGAACACGAGAGTGAAGTACAGGTGTAGGGGCTGCAGGTGTGATCGACTGCAGGTGTGGGTGACTGTAATTGTGGGTGACTGTAAGTGTGGGGTGACTGCAGGTGTGGGCGGCTGCAGGTGTAGTCGGTATCAAGACTTGAAGGTCTTCCACCGCGCAAGGTCTGACAGCTACGTTTGTCTTGTGTTGGTCTGACTGTGTAACAACTCTTGCAAGAGTGTGTTGAGCTGTAGCTCTTGGGTCTTCCTTGTGTGTGTGTTGAGCTGCAGTTCTTGGGTCTTCCTTGTGTGTGTGTTGAGCTGCAGTTCTTGGGTCTTCCTTGTGTGTGTTGAGCTGCAGTTCTTGGGTCCTTGTGTATGTTGAGCTGCAACTCTTGGGTCCTCCTTGAGAGTGTGTGCTGAACTGCGGCTCTTAGGCTCTTGATGTTGAAGAGCAGCAGAATCCGTCCCTCCCCCCGCCATCTCCACCATCACCCCCACCACTCACAACAACAACAACAACAACAACAACAACAACAACAACAACAACAACAACAACAACAACAACAACAATCACGGCTAGAAAATGAAAGTGGTGAGAAGAGGAAAATTGGCGGAGTAACGCCTTCCATTTTACCAGATGAAGTGGTGAGGGAGAGGAGGGAGGGGGAGGGGGAGGGGGAGGGGAGGAAGGAGGGGAAGGAAGAGATCGAAGAGTGAGAGAGGGAAAGAAGGGGAAAGATGGGATCACGAAGGAGGGAGGGAGAGAGGGAAGGAGGGAGGGAAGGAAGGAGGGAAGGAGGGAGTATTAAAGGCACGAGGGAGAGGAGGAAGAAAGGTGGGGGGGAGACACAGTAGGTCAGACATATTACAACATAAGCATGAGGGTAGGGGGAGGGGGAGCTGGGGAGCAGGGGTGATGTAGGGGGAAGGTTACCGGTGCAGTGAGGGAGAGAGAGGGAAGGTAGAGAGGCGGGGGAGGTAGGGAGGAGGGGATGCAGGGAGGAGGGGAGGCAGGGAGGAGGGGGGTAATTAGCAACCTGTAATTGGCTACCAGAGTCCATGGGGGTCGAGACACATAACTGGCAACACCAAGTAGATTTGGAATGACGTGTTGTGGCCCCCGGGTGTTGTGGCTCCCGGGTGTTGTGGCCCCAGGGTGTTGTGGCCCACGGGTGTTGTGGCCCCCGGGTGTTGTGGCCCCCCCGGGTGTTGTCCATGTGGTGACCCGACAGTGACTCCTGAAGTGTCGGAGTTTGTACAGCTGATGTACCCTTTACTGCCCTATGGTGGGGACAGCCCTATGGTGGGGCAGCCATGTGGTGGGGGCAGCCATGTGGTGGGGCAGCCATGTGGTGGGGGCAGCCATGTGGTGGGGCAGCCATGTGGTGGGGGCAGCCATGTGGTGGGGACAGCCATGTGGTGGGGGCAGCCATGTGGTGGGGACAGCCATGTGGTGGGGGCAGCCATGTGGTGGGGCAGCCATGTGGTGGGGCAGCCATGTGGTGGGGGCACCCCTATGGTGGGAGCAACTCTATGGTGGGGAGCCTTATGGTGGGGGCAGCTCTATCGTGGGGGCAGCAGTATGGTGAGGGCAGTTCTATGGTGGGGGCAGCCCTACGGTGGGGGCAGCCCTATGGTGGGGCAGTCCTATGACAAGGGCACGGTGAGTCCTCGTGTCGAGTGCCGTTTACAGCCCTATGGCAGAGACTGTAAACACACACACATACTCTCTCTCTCTCTCTCTTCTCTCTCTCTCTCTCTCTCTCTCTCTCTCTCTCTCTCTCTCTCTCTCTCATTCACTCTTTCCCACAGACTCATCCTTACCTTTAAAACTATAAGTATTCCTGTGTAATGATATAATAATCAGATGACTGATAATTTACCTTCTATCATTATCATAATTATAACATTAAGGCAACTTAGTCATTATCAAAATTATATTTCTCACATAATGTGATGTTACATTCTGTTATTTCAACGATTATATTAATGCTATTTTAATTATTTCAGATGACGTCTTCCTTCTAGATAATCTCATCAGCAGATAATGAAATTATAGACAACTCATAAAATAACAGACATGGTGAGTAGATGAGTTGTGTGTTTGATGTGGATCAGATTGTCTCCCAGCATCCAGCAGTGAGTTGTGTGTTTGTTGTGGGTCAGATTATCTCCCAGCATCCAGCAGTGAGTTGTGTGTTTGTTGTGGATCAGATTATCTCCCAGCATCCAGCAGTGAGTTGTGTGTTTGATGTGGATCAGATTGTCTCCCAGCATCCAGCAGTGAGTTGTGTGTTTGTTGTGGATCAGATTATCTCCCAGCATCCAGCAGTGAGTTATGTGTTTGTTGTGGTTTTTTTTTCTCCCACGATAAGTCAGTGTTTTTACTGACCAGGTTAAATTCCCCTCTATTCCTCTTCCCTCTTTCGCCAAAGAACAAGACTTAGCCAAAGTGGCGATAAATTTTTTACCAATAATATGTAATAAAAAGAATAATGAGGAAGGTGATTATCGCAGAGATAATTACGGTAATATACAAGTGTTTATGGTGGCTTCTGTACGTTCACTTGTGTTGTTGACACAGCTGTAGCAGCAGCACCACCTGCTGCTGGCATTGACAGCACCACCTGCTGCTGGCATTGACAGCACCACCTACTGCTGGCATTTACAGCACCATCTGCTACTGGCACTGACAGCACCACCTGCTGCTGGCATTTACAGCACCATCTGCTACTGGCACGGACAGCACCAGCTGCTGCTGGCATTGACAGCACCAGCTGCTGTTATTGTCAGCACCACCTGCTGCATCAGCAACAGCAACAGTAGGTGAAGCAGTTAGGTGATGCAATAATAACAGCAACAACACCTTCCCGTCCCACCTGCTTCCCCTCCCACCTGCTTCCCCTCCCACCTGCTTCCCCTCCCACCTGCTTCCTCTCCCACCTGCTTCCCCTCCTACCTGCTTCCCCTCCCACCTGCTTCCCCTCCCACCTGCTTCCCTCCCACCTGCTTCCCCTCCTACCTGCTTCCCCTCCTACCTGTTTTCCCTCCCACCTGCTTCCACTCCCACCTGCTTCCTCTCCCACCTGCTTCCCCTCCTACCTGCTTCCCCTCCCACCTGCTTCCCCTCCCACCTGCTTCCCCTCCTACCTGCTTCCCCTCCCACCTGCTTCCCCTCCTACCTGCTTCCCCTCCCACCTGCTTCCCTCCTACCTGCTTCCCCTCCTACCTGCTTCCCTCCCACCTGCTTCCCCTCCCACCTGCTTCCCCTCCTACCTGCTTCCCCCTCCCACCTGCTTCCCCTCCTACCTGCTTCCCCTCCTACCTGCTTCACCTCCCACCTGCTTCTCCTCCACCTGCTTCCCTCCTACCTGTTTTCCCTCCCACCTGCTTCCACTCCCACCTGCTTTTCCCCTCCCACCCGCTTCCCTCCTACTGCTTCCCCTCCCACCTGCTTCCCCCTCCCCTGCTTCCCCTCCTACCTGCTTCCCTCCCACCCGCTTCCCCCCCTTTCCTGCTTCCCCTCCCACCTGCTTCCCCTCCTACCTGCTTCCCCTCCTACCTGCTTCCCCTCCACCTGCTTCCCCTCCCACCTGCTTCCCCTCCTACCTGCTTCCCCTCCACCTGCTTCCCCTCCCACCTGCTTCCCCTCTACCTGCTTCCCCTCCTACCTGCTTCACCTCCCACCCGCTTCTCCTCCACCTGCTTCCCCTCCTACCTGCTTCCCTCCCACCTGCTTCCCCTCCTACCTGCTTCCCCTCCACCTGCTTCCCCTCCTACCTGCTTCCCCTCCTACTGCTTCCCCTCCCACCTGCTTCCCCTCCCACCTGCTTCCCCTCCTACCTGCTTCCCCTCCCACCTGCTTCCCCTCCTACCTGCTTCCCCTCCTACCTGCTTCACCTCCCACCTGCTTCTCCTCCCACCTGCTTCCCCTCCCACCCAGAATGCTAGAAGTCCCTAGCAGAACAGTAATATAACATCAGAACATCAATATAACAGCAGAACAGCAATATAACAGAACAGCAATATAACAGCAGAACAGCAATATAACAGCAGAACAGCAATTATAACAGAACAGCAATATAACAGCAGAACAGCAATATAACAGCAGAACAGCAATATAACAGAACTCAATATAAACAAACAGAAACAGCAATATAACATCAGAACAGCAATATAACAGCAGAACAGCAATATAACAGAACAGCAATATAACAGCAGAACAGCAATATAACAGCAGAACAGCAATATAACAGAACAGCAATATAACAACAGAACAGCAATATAACAGCAGAACATCAATATAACAGCAGAATAGCAATATAACAGCAGAACAGCAATATAACAGCAGAACAGCAATATAACAGAACAGCATATAACACAGAAACAGCAATATAACAGCAGAACAGCAATATACAGCAGATAGCAATTAACAGAAACATCAATAAACAGCAGAACAGCAATATAACAGCAGAACAGCAATATAACAGCAGAACAGCAATATAACATCAGAACATCAATATAACAGCAGAACAGCAATATAACAACAATATAACAGCAGAACAGCAATATAACAGCAGAACAGCAATATAACAGCAGAACAGCAATATAACATCAGAACATCAATATAACAGCAGAACAGCAATATAACAGAAAAGCAATATAACAGCAGAACATCAATATAACAGCAGAACAGCAATATAACAGCAGAACAGCAATATAACAGCAGAACAGCAATATAACAGCAGAACAGCAATATAACAGAGAAAAAGCAATATAACAGCGGGACAGCAATATAACAGAAGAACAGCAATATAACAGCAGAATAGCAATATAACAGCGGGACAGCAATATAACAGCAGAACAGTAATATAACAGAAGAACAGCAATATAACAGCGGAACAGCAATATAACAGAAGAACAGCAATATAACAGCAGAATAGCAATATAACAGCGGAACAGCAATATAACAGAAGAACAGCAAAAACACAGAATAGCAATATAACACGACAGCAATAAAACAGAACATAATATAACAGAAGACAGCAATAAACCAGAATAGCAATATAACAGCGGACAGCAATATAACAGAAGAACAGCAATATAACAGCAGAATAGCAATATAACAGCAGAACAGCAATATAACAGAAGAACAGCAATATAACAGCGGGACAGCAATATAACAGAAGAACAGCAATATAACAGCGGGACAGCAATATAACAGCAGAACAGCAATATAACAGAAGAACAGCAATATAACAGCAGAATAGCAATATAACAGCGGGACAGCAATATAACAGAAGAACAGCAATATAACAGCAGAATAGCAATATAACAGCAGAACAGCAATATAACAGAAGAACAGCAATATAAAAAGCAGAACAGCAATATAACAGCAGAAAAAGCAATATAACAGAAGAACAGCAATATAACAGCAGAAAAGCAATATAACAGCAGAAACAGCAATATAACAGAAGAACAGCAATATAACAGCAGAATAGCAATATAACACGGAAGAACAGCAATATAACAGAAGAACAGCAATATAACAGCAGAACAGCAATATAACAGCAGAACAGCAATATAACAGAAGAACAGCAATATAACAGCAGAACAGCAATATAACAGCAGAACAGCAATATAACAGAAGAACAGCAATATAACAGCAGAATAGCAATATAACAGCGGGACAGCAATATAACAGCAGAACAGCAATATAACAGAAGAACAGCAATATAACAGCAGAATAGCAATATAACAGCGGGACAGCAATATAACAGAAGAACAGTAATATAACAGCAGAATAGCAATATAACAGCGGGACAGCAATATAACAGCAGAACAGCAATATAACAGCAGAATAGCAATATAACAGCGGGACAGCAATATAACAGCAGAACAGCAATATAACAGAAGAACAGCAATATAACAGAAGAACAGCAATATAACAGCGGGACAGCAATATAACAGCAGAACAGCAATATAACAGAAGAACAGCAATATAACAGCAGAATAGCAATATAACAGCGGGACAGCAATATAACAGAAGAACAGCAATATAACAGCAGAATAGCAATATAACAGCAGAACAGCAATATAACAGAAGAACAGCAATATAACAGCAGAACAGCAATATAACAGCAGAATAGCAATTTTAACAGAAAACAGCAATATAACAGAAGAACAGCAATATAACAGCAGAACAGCAATATAACAGCAGAACAGCAATATAACAGAAGAACAGCAATATAACAGCAGAACAGCAATATAACAGAAGAACAGCAATATAACAGCAGAATAGCAATATAACAGCGGGACAGCAATATAACAGAAGAACGGCAATATAACAGCAGAATAGCAATATAACAGCGGGACAGCAATATAACAGAAGAACAGCAATATAATACCAGTCTAACAAGAGTGGAAATGCAGTGGAGCAACAGTTTAACAGAACAGCACGATAACGTGAATATAACAAGAGGATAGCAGCAACAGAACAGCACTGCAATAGAAGCAGAACAGCACAATAACAGCAATATAACAGTAATAAAGGAAGAACAACAGTATATCAGCAGTATAACAGTAATATAACAGCAGTATAACACCATAACAGAAGAACGACAGCATCATATCAGAAGTATAGCGGGAATTTAACAGCAATATAACAGCAATGAAAGAAGAACAGCAGCATTATATCAGCAATATAACAGCAGTATACCAGAACAGCAGCAACATAGCAGTACAACACTATTCCCACTATAGCAGCACCACAACAGCACCATAACAGCAGTATCAACACAGCAGTTGCAGCACCCCCTCCCACAGCTTAAGTACCAGTAAGGTTTCAAGGTTGTGACGTCATTCGTACACTAACATTGTCTCAGTAAGAAGCTTTCTCTCTTAGATCCTGCCTCTTTGTTTCTTACTGCCCTTAACCGCTTGTACACTCCGTTGTACACTTGTACAATATTGTGCACTTGTACAATATTGTGCACTTGTACACTCCATTATACACTCCGTTGTACACTCCACTGTACACTTCTACACTCCATTGTATGTTTGTGTACACCAAGAGACCCCTGG